GAAGAGCGGAGGCGGAAGGAAGGGGAGGCGCGGAACAGAGATGGGGTTGATTTTAGGGAAGATTCCGCCATTTTCGTGATTAGATCTGGAATTAAAGTGGGGAAAGAGGAGAAAGAAGAGGGATTTCGGGGACTTGGAGTTGGGAAGAGGAGGGGAGGGGTGCTTTTATAAGCTGTAGGGTTAGGGTTGGCGGGAAGGAGTTGACTTTTTTTTGTGGAATCTTTAATGGAATAAGTTCACAGAATAAACTAATAGCTTTTTTTGTTTGATTACATAATTAAGATTAAAATTAATTTTTATGGGCAAAATTCATTTTAAAATCTTCTCTAATATAATGATTTAAATTTTACAAACAAAAATTATGAATTGTTATTTTAAAGTTGAATAGAAACGTTTTATTGTTTAATTTATTGGCTAATTATTTTAATAATCACAATAATTTTATATTATTGTTTAGAAAGTTTGTAATAGCAAATATTTATGTCAAGTATTGAATGAATTAATAACATGGACAAAATAATTTTCTTACAAAAATATAATATTGAGAGGATTTCAAACTATAATTTTATTATCTAAATTCAGCCCCCCTACCCCCCGCGACATATGGCGAAAATGTTACGTTTAGAGACAAGAGGAAAGTACGATGGATCGCAGTCATTGTCCATAATGCAGCTTGCGTCCAGACTTCGGATGTAATATTTCTTCCCGCAAGGGAAGCATATCGAAAGAAGATGTGGGGCAAACTCTTTAATTTTTTTTAGGAAAATTTTAATACAATGAATAATTTTATAAATAGATAATATGTTAAATATATTTTAAAAATTATTTTTATTTATTATACACATTAAAAATATTAAAATTAATTTCAACGTTAATTAATTAATTTTAATTAATTTTTAATTAATTAAAAAAATAAAATTGAACAATTAAATAAAATGACAAAAATTTGAATGCTGCAAAATTTATTTCATATTGAAATATTTATAAAATAAATTAAATTGAATTAATTGAACAATTTAAATTAGCTACCATAATATACAAAAAATATTATCTTTCTCGTAGAGGTGGAATAACTCCTAAGCCTAGTGCATAACGAGAGGTTAGTCACAGTGGTCGATGACACAAGTGATTTTCGTGAATTTCTTCAAAATCATTCCTTTCGGTTGTGTCATTCATAGTATCTCGTGGCATCCAATAAATTTCTTCGTAGAGAGTTGGTGGAGAATAAATTTGGGGTGTTCCGAAATCCATGCTTACAACAGAAATAGACACAGACATTAGAATGGTCTTGATATGTCATCAATAAAATTTAATTATATGACACAAATCTCAAGACATAATACGGATCTCAAAGTAATCTCTTGAGCAAAAAAAAACATTAAAACTTCAATTAGAAATTATTCAGAGATCTGATTTCAGTAAATTTATAGTTAAACTGACTGACTTGACGAGACAGACTCAATGGTACCAAAATTGGTCAAATCAGAACAAATCAAGCTCAGATCAAGCCATTAAATCGCTTTTGAAAGTTTTTTGGACCATTTGAAAGGTAAAATAAATATCGATTCTGACGAGTCTATAATCAAGTCAAGCTTCATGACAAAACAAATATTCATCAATCTTAAGATCACTCAATTCTGATATCATTAAGGCACTCAAATATTCATCAAACGTCGTCCGATTGAGAGAAGCTCTTTGAGTCATTCGATCAAAGTGATTCATATTTTCTACATTAATTTCACCTATAACTGTATAAATAGTGCATCATCCATCTCATTAGAAGAGGAGGAGAGCTTAAAACGTGTGAAAGAACTTGAAGCTTTGAGAGGAAACTGAAGTCTAGCACTACTGCTGCCACGGTTGACCGCCGACCACTTTCGGTCGTCGTCGACCACCATCGACCCCCGGCGACAGGCGTCGACCACCACTGTTCGTTTTCAATAGCCACTGATTGACGTTGAGCACTCTTGCCTCCGTCAATCACTGCCAACCATCATTGACAACCAACAATCTTCGTCGACCACCGCTGACTCTCATCAATCACCGCCAACCACCATCAATCAATATTGATTGCTCGTCATCAATCATTATCGGTTGTCGCAAGTCGACGTTGCAACTTAGAAAAACTAGTAAACATTTCCCGCCTATGAGGCAAGTGATTGCTACTGTAATCATCTTTTATAGTGGAACTCTTCAGTTGGGCCAGCCCCCGTGGCTTTTCCCTTTCTGAGTTTTCCACGTAAAAACTTTTAGTGTCATTATTAGTTGATTTCTTTTTACTGAGAGTAAGTTAAATCTTCATACAATGCTAAGACGATAATCTGCTACTCTACTGTCGTGAATTTTCTAGCTCACAATAGCTTGCGCCGTTTGTGGGAAACTTCAATCGCATCACTGAAGTACTTGCAAGACGTACTATAAGGCCACCCGATACAATATTTGTGACAACAGAGCATCCCGCTCTAACACTCATCTTCCTAGGGAGCAGTCACAAAGTCAAAGGTGGCATGCTTCTTCATCTTACAACCATAGAAGATGTTAACCTGCCAATGAAGGTGTCTCAGATCCTTCTATAAAAGATCGAATGCGCATAATGGAAGGGTCTCAAGTAGACATCCTACAGCTCCTACCCGGGGCTCAATAGCCAATGCCCACACCATTGAATGATGTTCTCTTACCATTAACTCGACAACCTATGGGAAACACACTACTCGGAGGACCTCGTACCGGCCTCTCTCCCCAAGAGGGAACACTGCCCCTACTATGTCGTAATGTTGAACTCCTAGATACTACAAGTTCCACTCATCTATCTCACACATCTCACCTGGCACGTCCACGCCTTGCTGCCATTCTACATGACATCATTCATAACAAGCTACGACGCCTCGTTTGGAAAGAGCTCCCCTTAAAAAATGGATCGCTTCCCCACTCATCGTAACTTCCATGAATCTTCTCCCTTAACGGATGTGGTTCTCCAACACCCCATCCCAATTGGCTTCAAACTTTCAAACATCGACACCTACGAAGGGATAACTAACCTCTAAGAGCATATTGATTACTATCAAACAATCATGCGCATTCAGCGTACATCTGATGCACTTCTATGTCAAGTGTTCTCAATCACTCTTAAAGAACAAGCTCGCACCTGGTTCTACATCTGGTAGGAGACACTGTAAACACCTTTAACGAGCCGACAAACTATTCACAGAACAGTTCATGACAAATCAATGGATCATCAAGGATTCATTCCATCTCTCTGAAATTTGCCAAAGTAAAGGAAAGTCCTTCAAAGACTACTTCCGCAGGTTTTCGCTAAATTCTGTCAGAATTTGAGAGTGCATCTGATGTTTCTGAGAGGAGACTTCCTTGGGGGGCTTTGCCTAGAACCCTTCTACTCATCACTCATGCGAGAGACAATTTGTTCTTTGTTTATAAACTTATCCCCGAGAAAGTCCTAAAAATAGCCTGACATATTCCGATCAATTTTTTTTTTTATGATAAGTTCTAAAGTCATTACAGTTATTTTGAAATAAATATAATATAAATGTGATTATTTTATAATTTTTTATGTGATATATTAAAATCTTGAGTGCTAGGCATGTCTAAATATGACTGTTTAGGTGTTAGATATTTAAATACATAAATGGTTTGGGATGTATGTGTCTTCCTGGTTTTATTTATATAGATGAATGATCCAACCTACCAGAGCTCATGCTGAAAAGGTACTCATTCTTTTCACATTTAATCCTTGAAAACTGTTTACCTCTTCAATATATTCTAGAACAACATTTCATGAATTCCTCAACCCAGTGCATAAAAATTTTTCTCTATGCAAGCGACTTTTTGCAACATCAATTTTTCTACTTAAGAATATGTAATATATAATCAGATACCATAAAAGTCATCGCAATAAATGGTCAAAAGGAGCCTTTTCGGCTTCGCCGCGGATCATCATTGCGCGTTGCGCGTTGGGCGTGCGACGTTTTCTTCTCGAATCCCGACTTCTGAGACCGACGGCGGCAGCGGCGTAGAAATAACGGAAGGTAAAGGAATAAGAATTCCACGGAATTAGAACGGGTCCAGTCGGCGAATGTGTGGAGCAGCTTCGGCGGTTTGGGCTCCGCGGTACCCTTCCGACGTGGCCTCAGAGTCAGGAACGCGAGGCTGGCCAAAAGCTTCTTTATTTCTCTCCGTTATTTATTTTATTATTGTTTTATTATTATTTTTTTTTTGGAAATTTCCATAAGTAGGGAACAATTTTTATGCATAGAGGTATCGCCTAAATTTTGATATGTGTATTGTATAACCTTGCTGTTAAAAAGTTATGCATGAAAATATATACTTCATATTAGAAAAAAAACTTTATGTGCAACCAAATAGGGTTGCCAAAACGTCTTGTTGTTCGCAAACAGCTTATGTTCGGCTCTTTAAGATGGTTGTCTTCTGCCCGTTCGCTAACAAGCCGAACAGGAACACTTTTTTTGTGCTGATCCGAACACGAACAAAGATTTGTTCGTTCCTGTTGGACTCATTTTGGCTCATATATATATATATATATATATATTGATGAATAGTATTTTTAAGAAAATTAATTGACTATAAGACAATAAAAATTTATAATCAATTAAAGTTATTGATTAAAAAAATAGAATAAAAATTATTAAATTAGATTTAAATGATGTTTTAATATAAATAATAAGATTTAAATCTTGCCCCAACTTTTAAATTTGATGGCTGATTACGATTGTCAAAACGACTCTTTATTCGCAAACAGTCAAACAGCTGTTTTTCGTCTCGCTAAGCAAACGAGTCGAACACGAACACACTTTTTGTATTTGAAATATAAATGAGCCGAACACGAGCTGAGCATGGACTCGCTCGTGTTCGACTCATTTACACCCCTCCGACCAAACATTTAAGTGCTAAGTATGTAAATATAAAATTTTATTTTAGATATGTAAATGTATAAGAATTGCCTGAAAGTTTTTTTTTTTTTTTTTTTTTTGTCTTGAAGCTTTTTAGAAATATAATGATGAGATATATCTTCTTATAACTAAATAATTTAAGAATTATAACTAGTTTTGTTATTCTATCTTTTAAAAAATATTATAATGCAATTATTAATTTTTAAGATGTATATTTTTGTTACCATGCTTCTACATT